GTGTGTGTGTGTGTGTGTGTGTGTGTGTGTTTAGGATTTGTTTTGTATGATATTTTATCTTTCATGTTGTTTTATTGTTTTTGAACTTTATATTCAGGATTCCCACACCTTGGTCAACATCAAATTCAAGGACCTTTCAAGGACTTTCCAGTACCAATTTCCTCAAATTAAAGAACCGCGCAACGGCAATTACCTACTACTACTGCAGAATGTTACCAATAAACAGGTAATATCATGTAAATTCAATGAAAAACTGAACAAGTTGTTGAGTTAGAAACAATGATGTCAGTTTACAATAATCCTGAGTTATCCACTGCAACAAATGTACTTTTAATTTAATTTAATTATATATATATTTTTTAAAAGATGATGAAAATCAGTCATGCGAATAGAGAATTTCAATCTCCAAAAAACATTCAAGGATTTTCAAGGACTAGTGTAATTTTTGGCTGTTTTCAAAAATTTTCCAGGGCCTTGAAATAATTTTTTCTAATTCACAAACTTTCAAGGACTTGAAGGACCCTTGGGAACCCTGTATATGTTAAAAGCCCATCTAGGGACGAGCATTGCAAACTAGCTAAGGCTTTAAATGTTATAGTGTTCTGTATTTGTTAAATGAAACACTTGTTCCCATGCAAATAAACGTGAAAAAAAAAAGGTTTTACTGCACTACCTGGTGAGAAGGTGATAATAGAGGCATCTGTGTTTGGCCTCTCAATGAAGTCCATCATGACCTGGGCTGTCCCTTGCCGGCTGTAACAGCGAACTGTAGACTTGTAGCTGATATCTCCACTACGATACACAGTAGCTGAGATCTGTCCTGCATTCTCATTTCCTACATGCACAGCGTGGCGGAACTGCACCTTCGGCACTGAAACAAAAAGGTTTCATCCAGATAAAAGAAACAGAACTAGTAACGTCAGAGACACTGTGTAATTATTTCAGTAAACGTTGATAAACATCATGATTTTTACTTACAGTCAGAAACAGAGTCGTTGATAACGATGACAGTCTTGCTTGGCTCCCCGAGGATCCCATTCATAGGCATTCGTAGTACCAGTTCAAACTTTTCTGGTCCCTCCAGAACCGGCTGGCCAAGATCATCCAGAATAGTCACGCGAAGTGTCTGCGTGGTGACCCCCGGTGCAAAGTCCAGATTTCGGCTGATCCCCATATAATCTACACCAGCTGCTCCCAACACAGGATAGGTAAGACATGCTTAAAACAACATATGTCGGTATTAGCAGGATTTAATGGTCCTATATAAACTACTAACTTGTGAGTGTTATTTAAGGTGAAAGATGAAATGCCATACCTTCCATGACGACAAAGTATTTTGCCACATGGGTAATAGTTATGAATAAATTCATGAATAAAGCTACATAGCCGAGAGCTAGAGATCTCTCTGATGTCCAGTTCCTGGTTTTTCGTTTGCCACTCTTAAAAGAGCCTTCGTAATGAGACCTTGACCTTTGCCTGCAGGGCCTTTTTTTCCACAAATTTATCACCCAGATATACATATATGGGCTTGGATTTCTATCCTGCATAAGAAGCTAGTTGCCTTTACAGTTGTAGGTAGGAGAAGAGTTGTTAAGAATCTGTGAAAAGGGAGATGACTGCCTGGGGGTAAGAGATAATAGAAGCTATAGGCAAGACCTGAAGAAATAGCAATCTGACTTGAACTCAAAAAAGCTTGCCAATGTGGAGAAGAATCAGTATGCCTCCCAGTAACGCAGTGCCCAGTCAGAATAACATTATCATCACAACTGTGTACATTTAATGCCTATAAGACAAGGTCTGAACTAAGAAACTCTGGACTCTATCCCCTGCAACCTAAAAAAAAATGTTTACATTCCCCAGGCCATCCACTTAACATATCCAGAGTGGAAATCTTCTTGCACAGATGAGCTCAGGAAAACAAAGACTGACAGGATGATGACTTAAGTCCATTGTTTTGTTTTGTTTACATTTCTTTAAGCATGGACTAGCTGAAGCTGTCAGAGAAGGATGTTTATCAGAGACACGTACCCTCAGCAGAGACAGGATCTGTCTTTTTGGAGCGCACTGTGACAGTTCCTCCTTTGGAAAGATCAGTCCCCGTCCTCCATACCTGCACTTCCACAAAGCCATCACTCTCATCCACATGGTATTCTGTGCTTCCAAAGTAGAAAACAGGATCTGGATAGAACAACAGAGGACAATGAGAAATAAAAGAAGACTAAACACAAGGGTATAGAGTTCATTACACACTTAAAACAATAAATTTAAATGCATGATGTAATTGGACACTTGAATTCTTAATGGCTAGCATACTGTGTTAGATTATCTGTAATTACAAGAGAACCAAGGGACCTCTTCCATCCATTTAGCAGCAGGTATTCAACAATATAACTGTGGACCTTAAAGGGATCCCCGATTAGTTGTAACATTAGACTTTATTTGATAAACATATATTTTAACTGTAAAATAAAGAATTTAAAAATACTGTAGGATGTTTAGTTTTTATAATTTTTAAACTTAAATTTTAAGAATATATTACACGGACGGGGCCATTTTATTTACACACAAAGCATTCTGGGTAA